ATAAATTAAAGCTATTACGGGAGACTCAAACTTATTATTATTATTGAATAGTCTAGGGTGAGTATAATACACGACCGAACTTGGATAATATATTTCATATGCAAGACTTAGATCACAGGGCTTGAGAAGTTTCGGCCCATTACGTTTAGCTTGATTATGTATTTGGCCCAATAAATTGGGTTCATATCATAAAAGAACATTCAATATTTTACAGTGTTGACCACTAAGTCTGAAGTTTGAAATTCAGCCAAACTTGAGACGCGCATACTTATTTGGTGTACTAATCATAATTAGCTACCGCGGGTGGTCCTCACTCTCACTAGTAGCTCACTGTTTAGCACCTGCTACGCGCAACAATTTCACCAAAGCGCAACTGTTTTCTGAAACCACTCTAGTTGCTATCAGTGCTTTTACCTACTACTACGTGCCATCTTCCATGCACCCACATATCGATACGTTTTACTGCAGAAACAATCGTAATGAAGAAAAGGGTAAATTACACATTTGGCAACTGAACTTTATTCTCTTTCTATTTCGCTCATTGTACTTTCAATTTACTCAATAAATTTTATAGATTTAATTTTTTTCTCTATGCCGATAAATAATTATGGTGTTATGACATGACCTTTTTTTAATAAAAATGATGTCGTTTTGATTTAGGTTGTCGTGTCATAAACGTCGTTAATTATTGGAAAAGATGCATCAGAGGTCCCTTTACTTTTGAAGAAAAAACTAAATGTGACTCTCTAACCCAGAAAACAAACTCAATGTGACTCTTTGACAAATTTTTTTCATCATTTGATTGTTATAGTGATGATGTCGCAGTTCACAGTGTTGACGCGACAGTCCACGGTACTGACATGGCGATCAATTGTGACAAATTAATGTGGTGGATGAAATGATAGATTAGCTAAATTAGTACCTCAAACATGATAGGTACTGCCACATCAGCACCGTGGACCATCAATTCAACACCGTGAACTGGCATGCCAGTATGGTAACGGTCAACGATGAAAAACGCTGGTCGAATGACCACATTGAGTTTGTTCTATGAGTTGAATGATTATATTGAGAGAAAAATAATATGATGATCACATTAGTTTTTTTTTTCAAAAATGTAGGGACCTATGATGCCTTTTTGCCTTAATTATTTAAGGACGGAGTGAAAAAATAATCTATAAAGTTTAGTGAGTATATTGAGAAAATTGAAAGAACATTAAGTAAAATAAGAGAGATAGTAAACTTCAGTTGCAAGACGTTCAATTTACCCAAAAATAAAAGGTAACGTGGGCTAGGGTTGGAATTTTCTGTTACTACAGTTGGTTGTTTGAAAGGTGTTGGGTCACATCCCAAAAAACCAGATTCCATGCCGATAATCAATCTTTTTTTGCCCTCAAATCTCAAAGGTCTTTTTATATATAAAGAGATCATAAAGGCAGTTGAGGGTTTCATAGGTAGAATCATACTAATATATATAGGGCAAAGCAGTAGGGATGTACAGCAGCTGAAACACACTGATGGAGGAGTGGTGGTGATGCAGCAGAAACAGTTAAATTTGTCTGCTAAGTGCTACCGTTATGCAAATGCCAAGTGAATGTATAGACCCCTACCCACTGATTTTTCAGCTGCTTGACAACTCCCATGGCCATGTCCAATACGTTTTCATTTAGCTGTAAACTAAACACTGAGATCAGTGAGAGAGAGTGCAGGAAGCCATTCCTCTAAAAGCACCATCACCGAAAAGAAACGACCAAGACGAGAAAAGAATATAAAAATGAGAAAGCATGTTCACTGCCAGTTGATTACCCTTGCTTTACTCTTTCAAGGGAGGCCCCCATGCAATGCGTCAATACAATACTGGTATATATAATTATGTAGGAGATTTAATTGTTTTATTTAAATATAATATTGGACTGTAAAGGAGACGACATGGGTGGCAGGTGTGCACGTGGATTGTGGGTCCAATCTCATGTATTGTTATTTTCGTCAAAACCCGGATGTCCAATCTCATTGCACCGTTGGTTGCGGGATTCTCGTAGTTGTCTGCCCAAATATTTTACATTCGTAATGTATATATCTGTATGTACGTATGTATTGTTATGTAATGTACATATTTTACGTAGGTAGTGTATGTATTCGTATGTATTGATATTCGGTTAATTCAAATTTGTAAAAGTATTATAGGAGGAACGTGAAGGGATCTGAGAAATGTGCATGGAGGGGTCGGCCTTAGCTTAGCAGAGAAGGTGGGGTTCAGAGAAATTGCATGCATAAGTATTGATCACATATCGGCTTATGGGGAAGGTAAATTTTGGGCTTTACTGTCATCAACCTTTGGCTTCTATTGCCTCCATTTTTGTACTGCTTTTACATGACAAAACTCCCCATATGCCTCTCCATTTGTTCTATTTCCACTTCCGAAACAAGTAGAAAAAATAGGGTCAATTACGCATTTAGTATCTAAACTATCCGTTTTGGTCCATTTTAGTACATAAACTTTCATGTTTCTAAAATCATACCTAACGTTTAATTTTTATTTCATTTTAGCACCCGTCATTAAAAACTTCATGCGTTTAGTATCAAAACTATATGTTTTGGTCCGTTTTAGTACACAAACTTTCTTGTTTTTCAAAACTTATTGTCAAATTTTGAACGGATACTAAAATGAAACAAGAACTAAACTTTAGGTATGATTTTGAAAAAATTGAAAGATTAGGTATTAAAACGGATCAAACTGATAGTTTATGTATTAAATTCCTAATTTACCCAAAATATAATAAATTTTAAAAGTTATATATAATTCCATTTTTAAAAAAACTAAACCATGAAAATCAATATATATGTATATATATAATATATAGAGTTTCAATTCAACTGCAAAGAATTATGGAGTAGAGCTTGCTATGGTTAAGTATGGGAATACTAACTAAAAATCAACCAAGGTTCGAATTCAACACTTGATAATGATATTATTATTATAACAAATTTTAATCTTAAAAAAACAATTATTTAAAGACAATAAAACAAACATAATTATGTTTGAGATCCATCATATGAAATTTATGTCTCATCCCTAAAGTTACGGGAAATAACAAAAAAAGGTTAATTTTGACTACTCGTTCAATTTAGGCCCTTTTTTGCTATTTTATTGACCACACTTTCAGCATTAAATAACTTATCTTTCCAACATAATCTTAGGTATGCATATATGGTGACATCAGAAAGGTAATGCTTTGTACATGCCCTTTCTTCTTCTTCTTTTCCTCACAAAGGGGCCCCTATATGTATAATTTAAAACATATTGGGATCAATTACATAATATGTTTAATATAAACCACAATTAATAGCATGCATGTATCGATACCTCGGCTCACCCCTAAAAGGGAAAAGAAGGTTCTCGAACAGTCCCATTGGATACTTAAAACATAAGAGGGGGTGTCTCAATTATTAATCACAAAACCCAAATCATATGTGTCCTGTCGGCCACATTAATTAAGAAAAATTCCCTTTGATTATATCAAAAGGTTATTGGAGTAGATATGTGTGAAAATGCCTATATTGACATTTACATTTCAATGAACTAATTGGCTTCACAAAATACATACACATGTAAGTAAATACTTTCCAATCTCGTTGTCTTAATTACCATTCGTATATATAAGTGAAAGTATGGAGAAAGAGGACGAAAATAAGACACGTTTGATTTTATGTTATGGAACGAATTTAAATTATAAAATTTTAAGGGTATGAACTTAAACTTTATAGAACACTTTAATTTTATAAAAAAATATCATTATTGGATGAGTCTACATATATGATCGAGATTACAACTTTTTTAAAATAATGAATAATGTTAGTGCATAAAGTTTTAATCTCAGGCATCCATTTAGATTCGTTAGATGATTATATCTTCATTTAAAACTAATTAGATTTATACTATATAAATAAACTGTAACCTTTCAGGAACAGTGGTTACATGACAAATGAATGCAAAGGCATAAGATAAAGATTTTAGAATAAAAAGAACACTAATCTTTCACCCATAATTTTAAACAGTCTTCCACTCGTGTACATAAAAACAATTTGCAGATCATGCAAGCCCCCTAATTTAGTATCTAGAAAGACATTTCAAATGTGAGCGTCACTAAATTTAACTGTAAGACTTCCTCCTCCTGACAAATAAGGAAAGTGGAAGATGAAACTCCACAACACTGGAATAGTAATCTATTAAGGTGTCAAAGACTTGTATATGGTTAAAATATCAGCTCATTTACTAATGAAATTACATGTTAATAATAATATAACCTATATATGAACCATAACCATTGTCTGCCATACGTTCCTACACTGAAATGACAGCACCAAGCACTAGCGTCCGACGGATAAGCACATCTACAAGCAATCACAATAGTCTAATACACCATTTTCTGGCCACTAACGCACTTTCAGTGAGTAAAACAACGCTAAGATCAATCTATCAAATGGTTTGACGTTTATATATAAATACCAATCAACTCTAGACAGTAAAAGCAGTGAAATTAAAGTGACAAGACAAGTAATAAAAGGGAGAGAAACAGGAGGGAAGTCAGAGGTGAAAAACACCGACCACCGTCTGCAACAAAAAACACTAAACAACTATAGTGGTTGACAAATCTGAACAGGCAGATGAAGGCAAAATACCCAAAGAAATAAAGGGGAAATGAAGTGCAAATATATATGTTTTTTTTTGGCAAAGTACATGAGAGAAAAGCCATGATCGAGCAAATTAGGTTCCACTTAATTAAGCAACAAACTGCTAGTACAATGAATTTTTTTAAGTAATACTGAGGAATACTGACACTGTTTGCACCAAAAGTAGATTGGAGATGAGAAAATTAAACAGCAAACTGAGAGCATAGGAAAGTGGGAAAAGAGCTGCCCTAGAAATATATTTATATGGCAAAATTAAAGATTAACTAAACTACCCCACATAGATCAAGAGATGGGATTTTTTGCTGATCTTTTTAAGTTGCACCTGGTGGCGGTGGTGGCAGTTGCATTGGCAGTGGGAGAGATGAGATTGGTTGAGGTGGTGGTCGTTTACGCTTCTTCTTCTCGTAGCTAATCCCTCTTGCTTTCGACTGCAAATCACGAACCTCACGAAGATAAAGCCTCACGGCTCGTGCCCCGAACGGGTTTGCTTCGGGTTTTCCTCCGTTTTCTTCGAAGGCGGCACGGAGACGGCCGATGAGAGCGTCGAGGCTGCCCCAGGCTTGACGGAGCGGGCAGGGGCAAGGTGCCGGCGGGTTCGGGTGGCCATAGAAAGGACAGATTGGGCTGTGGACTTTGGTCTTGCCGAATTGGTCAAGGTAGCGAAGGAATTCGAGGACGTGAGCTCCACTGCACCTTGACAAGCAAAGCGGGGGGCGATGATTCCTCAGGTACTGCCCAAAAGTGTTCCAGTCACGGCGCTTTTGGTTCTCGTAGCGGCTTGAGGTCGGAGAAGACGACGAAGTGACACCGTTATGGCTAACGTTCACAAGGCCGGTGGCGCCGTTTTCGGAGTTGAAGCTATCCATTTCTCGAATCGAATCAATGGAAACAATCACAGCAAACAGTTTTTATAGCTTGTTCTCGAATGTTTCAAAAAGGAAACGAAGAAGAGTTTGGTGGTGGTGATGGGATGTTTTCTTTTTAGGCTTTGGATCTTGAACTAGGGTTTTGTCGTTTTGATGATAAGAACAGTTGCATACTATTATTGAGCTTATGAAATCAAAAGTTAAAACTGTTGTTGCAAGACAAGTGAAGGAACCGAAAACTTTGTTTTGTTATAGAATTCTCTCAGCTACAGCTACATGATAAGTCCACTTTTTGTTTCCCAGATTTCTACTGTTCATATGAAGACAACACAGCAAAGATGAAATAATTTTTGAATTGATATTTGACCTACTTTCCATTTTTTTTTTGCTAATCTACGATCCTTTCTTTCATTATTCTATTTAAAATATAAAATAACTAATATATAAATTTACTGCTCGAACCAACTAAGATTGGGATAAAAGAATCGTTGTTATTTCTTGAGGTACCGGATTTTAACACCAAAAGTATTACATGTGTCAACGACAAATGATTCAGAGTTATCTTTAAATAATACCCAAATTAATAGAAAAATCATTACCCAAATTAATAGAAAAAATCATTAGGGAATTACTTGGGCCTGAGGAGTAAATTTGACCCAAAGGAAAAGGACCTAAAACCCACCAACATAACCTTTACATCTCATGGAAAATTGGGATGTCTTCAAGTAAGTTGACAACTTGTAGCATGCATGCATACATATATGAATTCTTCAATTAATTGCATATCCAACATCAAAACCCCACAACTTCTCCAAAAGGACTGAAATAAGAGCATATCAAACAAATAAAAACAAGGGATGATTATTAAAAAATTATTATATGTCACATCATGAATTAATTATTTGTTACAAAAACTTTATATTTGATATTATTGAAATAACTTTTTATTTAATGTTCAAAATAAATAGATCTCATAGTTCAGTGACTCCTCGTGTAGTTTACTCAAAAAAATATAACGTTGAACTGAATATAAAAAGTCAATGAAAGTAGGCGAGCCTTTTAACTTTAAAACATGATATTATTACAACTATTATGATTCAAAATTTGAAAGAGCCTAACCTTTTATGTTTGGTCAAAACTTATTGTCGTAACCGATTTTCGTTAGGTACGAATTTTTTTACTTGGCGGGAAAAATAAGATAAATAAATGATTTTAATTTAAAAAATATTTTGGGAGTCACCATTGACATTTTTAGGTTAGGTATGTCAAATACCTAAAAATAATCTTTTAAAATAGTTTTCAAGAAAACATAATTCAAAAGATAAATTAATCTGCATTTAAACCAAAAAAATTTAATAAAGAAGGGATCTGTGGTCGATTACGTTTAGGGAATGATAAGCACCCCTATAACGCCCAAAATTGGTACCCATTAATTATAAATTGTCTCTATTATTGGAAATTTAAAAATTCAAAAATATATTTAATTCATAATCCTATTATTTCAAATTTATTAGTATAATTTTAAGAAAATATTTATAATTTTATAAATAAGATATTTATTTACTTTGAAATATCAGAAAAAAAACTTCTAGGTGCTTTAAGACAATCCATTTCTTAATATTAAAAAATAAATAAATAAAACATTTATCTAAAAATAATTAAAATAAATTAATATATAATTTATAAAAATAGGATATTTATTTATTTAAGAATATCAGAAAATGACTTCTAGTTGCTTTAAGACAACTCTTCTCTTTTGATAAAAATAAATAAACATTTTTATTTAATTAAATATATATGTTCATAAAAAAATAATTAAATATATTAAAATAAATATTTTAAAACTTGGTTTAATATTATATATAATATATTATTTGTGTATAAACATCACAAGTTTCTCCTTATCACATGAGGTAAAGGCGCATGCATATCGGTAAACTACTTTACTAAATATAATATATTACAACTACCTAACTTTGAATTTGTAATATGCAGAGGACCCAATTCTTATTGTATAATAATTCACATTTTATCATATGGATATATTTAAAGGAATGGGACCCAATTTTTTATGAATGAAAATTCAACTCTGAAACTGACTTTAAGGCTCTATGTTTAATGTACCCAAAATTGAGACTTAAAGAACTCGGATCTGGTAAATCAAGTGAGTCCTGAGAGGAACAAACTCGAATCTCAAGACAGCTCTTTGGGATTAAAATAAATTTTAATAAAATTATGAGAGATTAAATAGGGTATTTACGTAAATATATATAAGTATACGGACAAGGACTAAAATATAATATATTAAAATTTGAATACCAAATTAAAATAAATAGAAAATAGATTTCAGTGACCATAATGTAAGTTTACAAAGTATGAGTTATTGCGCGTGTGGTTTGACCATGCTGGAAATTACACAGAGGCCCTCACCAAAACGACGTCGTTTTGGTGAGGGTATAAATACCCTTTAAACGGCCCTAAAGGCCTTCATCATTCTCATTTCTTTGTTTCTTTCTCTCACTAACAGAGAGAAATAAATATTTCTCTCTGTCTTCTCTCTAAAGCCTCCGGCCGGCCGCCTTGTTCCGGCGCCGATCGTCATTGCCGGCCACCGTAGATGGTGGCTGGATTTTACAAATATACCCTAAATCGAAACCTGATTCTCCTTATTCCTAACTCTAGCCTTATTTTTACCTAAAAACCTCTAAATAACCCTAGATCTAAAAAAATCGAAGGTTTTTACCTTCGAATAAACGAATATTCAGGCACCGTTTGGTTTTCAACGTGATAACATGTAGGTTCTCCTCTTTCTTCTGCCTTCTTTTATTTCTCTACTGGTTGTTGATGTTAGAAAATGGCTGTCAATCTTGTTCAGTTTGTTTTTTCTTTGTGTATGTTGTTGTCCGTGTTATGTTCTTTCGCAAATATGGTGGCTTTTATAGCCACCACGAGGTTCTGTTCGGACCGGTCAAAAAAGGGATGTTTAGGTGAGTCACCATAGCTATGGTGGTGACTCACCATAGAGCTCGACGTTGATGGCTTCGTGGCATTCCTGGAGACTTATTCGGGGCGGCGGCGTCGTGGCTGTAGTGGGTTGGGTCACCTGGCAGTGGGAGCGTCGACAATGGCGTGACAGAGGCGGCTGGAAGTTTGGAGTCGACGCCTAGGAGTTGAACAGTTGGCTGGGACGGCTGGAAACTTGTCATCCTTCCCCATCGGCGGCGTGGAGCTAGGGTTTAAAAACCCTAGATAAAACCCCAAATATTTAGTATTTCCATCTAGTATGGGCCGGTTCTTGTAAATGGGCCTCAGTTTTGGGCTTTGTAATATTTAATAAATAATATATATATATAATAATATTAATAATTATTATTATAATAATTTTAATTTTAATAATAATAAAAATAAACTGAAAAAATTATTGTCTACAGCTGCCCCTCTTTACTCATTCTTGTGTTAACAAGAATAGAGCAAAGACGAAAAAAAGACAATAATTTTTCATTTGGCTTTTATTGAGTATGATGGAAATGTTGAAAACATTCTGCCCAGAGGTCTTATGAATGACCTTGAGGTCTTATCATCTTGCACTGTAGGTCTTACAGATGACCCAGAGGCTTTAAGATCAAGAAACCTTTGAAAATCAGTTTCTTAAAATCTTATTTGAAAATATCCTGAACTGTATGTCTTATGGATGACCCGAAGATTTTGAAAACATCAAGCACTGAAGGGCTTACAGATGACCCGAAGATTTTTGAAAACATCATGCACTGAAGGGCTTACAGATGACCCGAAGGTTTTGAAAACATCAAGCACTGAAGGGCTTACAGATGACCCGAAAGTTTTGAAAACATCAAGCACTGAAGGGCTTACAGATGACCCGAAGGTTTTTGAAAACATCATGCACTGAAGGGCTTACAGATGACCCAAAGGTTTTTGAAAACATCATGCACTAAAGGGCTTACAGATGACCTGAAGGTTTTGAAAACATCAAGCACTGAAGGGCTTACAGATGACCCGAAGGTTTTTAAAAACATCATGCACTGAAGGGCTTACAGATGACCCGAAGATTTTGAAAACATCAAGCATTGAAGGTCTTACAGATATGGGAAACAGTTTACTAAGTAATAAACTATGAAAATCGTTTTCTTACTATTCAACAATTTCATTTTTAGAAAAGATTAGATGAGAAATTTTGGAAATCGTTTTCTCTTTGAAATAACTTGTTGATTGGGTAACATGCCCCAAAATAAAGATAATGCTCATTCTTGTGGATTGCGTCCATCTATTCTTCGAATGTTTACGTAATTCCTGCATTTGCGGTTTTGAATACCTTCTTCTTGTAAGGTATTTTTCATCATGAATCTTCTTGTTCATACGAAGATCTGTAAAGTTTCATGTTTGAATGCACTCAGATGTATCAATATAATGCATTGCCTATTGTGTAAATGATGTTCTTATGAATGCATGAATGTTGATGCAATCTTCATTTGGCTTCAAAGTGGCGAACTCGGTCTTCCTTTACTTCATCATTTATTGCCAGGGTTACCTTTGAATATCAGTGTAGCAACTTATACTATCAAGCTTGTATCTCTGAAGAACCATCTGATCAATCTTGTATCTTTGTATCTTCTTTGCTTGTATTAAAATCTCAGAAGAAATGTTTCATTTATGGAACTCTTGCCGTAATCAGAATTATGACCTTGATGCCCCATTTTATCTTTGATAACATCGGATTTCTTTGCTTGAACTTGTGTAGAAATCCAATAAAGCTTTTATCTTTGAAAAGAGAATCTATCATCTTTGAGAAAATCTATCATCTTTGAAGAATGTAGATGTAGATATACCTGACTCAGCAGGGATTAATTAGGAGATCAGCATCTGTTTTGATTTTACTCTTGCAACACATTATAAGGGGGATGTATCTTAATTCCTTCATGTCTCCACATATAATCAAATCTCAATAAGGCAACTTGGACCATATCATGTCGAGATGCTTAACAAAAACCTGTTGTTCAACATTAGTTGGCTCCACTAGTTTCTTGTTGTTAAAATTTCTGCTTCCCTTTTATGGAAAAAAATCTTCATCATATCTCATTTCAAACCTTTGGGTTGAAGAAAACTTTATCTCAGATCAATAAATGAAAACACCATATGATAGCAACATTGGTTAAGCACCATAATCACTGGTTCGAAAATATTTGATAACACATTTATCCTCTTATGTGGTTTCTACCCAGATGTTCATAAAACATTTGATAACGCATTCATCTCTTCCTGTGGCTTCTGCATAAATTTCTGGTCAAGGAAGCTCTTTGCACAGTGTTCAAAGCTTTTAT